TGTATTTTCTAGTTTTCTCCTTTTAAGATCAATTAAGCCAGAGGACCCAAAAATAAAAAAAAAAGAGAGAGAGAAAATGGAAAGATTAAAACTATGTTAGAGTGGTCTGGGTGCTCACAGTACAATTCTTTCAACTTTTCTGTATGTTGGAAAATTTTCATAAAAATTTGGGGGAAAAGTGAAGACCATTTCACCTAAAAAGTATGCTGGAACAGAAAAGAGTTTTGAATAAAGATTTTACACTGCACTAGTTTGAAAAATATGGGTGAAATAGCAATATGAATGTCTTAACTCTTTCTACTGACAGAATTTTATATGTAATAGTGTATGCGAGTTGATCTATTATTTCAAATTGGAACCTTCACCTTGTTATCTTGAAAGGTATAGATATTTATCTGATATAATATTTATTTCCAAAACAATATAGTTTATGTATTTTCATATATACTTAACTCTAGAAATCGATACAGTAAATGTCAAAATTCTATCTATATATTATCGCTCATGATAAATTACTGCATTTAACATTTAAGAAAATTATTTTTTCTATTTTTTTCTGCATATATATATAACAAGAATGTGTAAAGTTCTCACAAAATTTCATAAAATGTTTCTGTTTACACTTGTTTTTATTTATAAAAAGGTAATCAGCTCTAATTCTGTTAGTATCCTAAAAAATAGTGAAATTTAAGTTCTTCAGTTTTATTGAGGTAGACAATTTATGAAGAAATCAGCACCATATGCACACAATTCAATTCACTGAATCAATAAATATTTATTGCATACAAGTTGTAAACTTGGCACTCAACTATATCTTGTCTGTAAGTAGTCCCTGCCTTCAAGAAACTTATTATCTAGCTGGAAAAAAAAGACAATACAAAAATATAGGAATGGGTAGAAAGTTTTCACTATAGCAATGACTATAGATTGACAATTTTCTTACCTTTATCTAATTTATTATATATGTGCTTTGGCAGTTCTGGTGAAGATTCTACATTTGGGGGATAAACATACATTGCCCTACTATGAGGTGAATTGAGATCCCTAAGATCCACAGCTTCTTTACAAACATTCAGAATATTTCTTCGGAAGTCTTGTACTTCTGGATCTTTAACCATATCAAATTCACACACTGGCATGCCAATAGCAAAACCTTTAAAAAATTATATAAAAAATATAACATTCTATTAAATACATAATATGAACATGTTTCTTACAAACAGGAAACAGGAAACTTTGTAGATGTGGAAGATCACAATGGAGTAAAAAATTTCTCTGGGTTAAAAAAAATTTTCGATGAATACACATATATTAAGAGCTGATGAGGTCCCAAATAATTTTAACATATAAAAGATAATATAATCAGCAGTTTAGAGCAAAGGCAGCAAACATCCGTATCAATTATTTTTAAAAGAATAATAAAACAAAACTGGAATGTAACAAATCTAATTTGTCTCACAAATGAAATGTCACAAATGGTATTTTTTAAAGAAAACCTTATAGAATAGTATCAAGGTGTTAAAAACAGCTCCATGGCTTGGTAGTCAAAAATATTTCAGATTTATACTGATTTATATTTAGAAAGGTATTAAGATTACAAAGGTACTGGTTCAGGCAGAAATATTTTAGTAATAAGAAGATAAGCTTCATAGTTATTTGCATTTTAGAATAGGATGACAATGCCATTTAGCTGAAAGTTATATCATACCAATTTCTCGATTGAGGATCTTTTCTTCACGGTTGCCTACTGGTTCAATTACTTTTAAAAAGGGTTGAAAAAGCCGAAGGTCACAAAGTCGTCTTGTTTCATCGAAAAATTCTTCCCTTTCTGCTTCTTGGGTAACACTTACGAAAATGTAAGAAGATTCATCTTGAAGAAGTTGATGGAGAGGGTATTTTCTTGCTTCTTTAAACAGTTCATGCTTTATAGTTATTAAAGTAGCCTCACGGAGGCATTCTAAAGTCACTATCATTCCATTTGGTAGTAAACATTCTACTAGGATTCTTGGGGGCATCAAGTGGATGCCCCACAGTTCACCTGATGATGGTCGTGGAGGCATTGTTCTGATCCTTTACAAGTTTTACATATAAAACTACTTCAAGGAATTAGATGTATGTCTGTCCCAAAGCAGAAACCTACCAAAGAAAGGAAACATCTGTTAAAAGACAAACAACTATAGAATATGCTTACGGCATTGCTAAATGTAAAAAATCATTTTTTGTAGTTTGAATTGATTAGGATAAGTAATAATTATTCATCTTAAATATTTTAATTGAGACTACTGTTTTGAGGTTGTAAAGAATTGATTTCAGCAGATTGCAAAGACTACTTATATTTAATTAAATTTAATAAAGTCATTTTAAAAACATTATATTTGAGTGGATTTTCTAAGTTGGTTCTCATCAAGACAGAGCTGAGGCTATGGGAAGAATGAAAAGTTGTAATTCAAACCAAAATTCCCATCACATATCATCTTTATCATTCTCTTCTATCTTATGAAGCAAAAGAATTGGGCCAGAATCTTTTAGATTATGAGTCTGTTGCTCTTATTTGAAAGATAAATAAAGCTTAGAGAAATCAAATCCTTTTGCTTTTATACCCTCTATCCCCAACCTGCAATAATGAGAAATTACATGGTTTAGTTGTTCTCTCTTAAATCAATTTTTGAAATTCTGGGGTATTGATTCTTGTCTAAGTGGTATCTTAGACCATTCTGTTCTTAAAGTCTGATTTAGGTATATATTCACAATAATATAAAGTGTTATCAATGCATTTTCCTTGAAGTATGATGATGAATTTGCAGTGATCCATCCACTTTCTCAAATAACCCAGTCCTAATACTTCTGATTGAAATTATCTACACACAAATAGGATCCACAACTCTGTCAGGACAATGCCCCAAACACTTGTGTTAAGAACTTGTAATATTTTAAGAACTATTAAGTGCTATTATGATTTGAAGGTCCTTAAATTTTTAGACTTCAACAATCTTGGTTATTCTTTTATAAGATAATATCAAAACCCATGAAACACAAGTTTATTCCTTATTGTTTGTGTTTATATTTTCTTTTATTTGGTAAGCTAAACTATAAGAGCATAACAAAAAGTAAAGTGAGAGATACCAAGAGATTCCAAATAAAAAAGAAAGTTAAGCTACAGAAATGAATCAAATAGGGCCAGAAAACCTACTACATATGATTACTCTGTCAGGTTGAGGTGGGAAGGTGTCCCACAGAAGGTAACTTATAAACTGAATCCTTTAAAGATAAACAGGAATTGAACAAACAAAAAGAGAAGGAGGTGAGGAGCATGATACATCTAATCCAGAAACCTGGCATCCCTGACTCCTCTTTTTATCTCACACCTATTGACATCTAACCCATCAACAAATTTCATTACTTCTGTCCTTATTCTGTCTATATTCCTTCACTGCCCTCTCAGTACCTTGGGTCAGGCCACCACTAATTCTTGCATAGACCACTGCGAAGGCCTAAATGGTCTCTTTGCATCTTGTTTGCCCCCTATAATCCATCTTCCACCTCACAGCCAGTGTGACCTAAAGAGAATAAGGCCTAATTTGACCAGACATTTCTGTCATACCAATTCTCAGCTGCAAACAAATGACTATGGTATGCTTCAAAGTTCTAACATATGAAAAGAGGTGAGAAGTAGGAATAACAGAAATTTACAGCCTTC